CCAAAAACGGGGGCAGGGGAGGTCCCAGGGGGTGGGGTAGCTGAGCCCCCCGCCCCTTTGGAAAGGGACGGGGGGGCCTTCCGGAGCGCGAGAGGGGGGGGGGAGTAGCTTTCGAGGGGCGGGACAAGGAGGGGGGCGGGAGCTTCCAGGGGACAGGTTCCAGGGGGGGATGTTGTAGCTACGGGGGACCCCCCGTCTTCTTTGGGAGTGTACCACGGGCGCGCTCTCTCATACATACTTCACTACGTATGCACGCACGCACACAGCACGCACACACGCACACACACACACACACGCACCCGTATACAGTATACACACACGCGCACGTTTGGGCGTCCCGGCCGGGCGCGCGGCGACGGGGCATGGACTCACACGGACACACAGACACATACAGACGCACACGCACACAGACACACACACACACATAGACACACCCCCACACACACACCCACACCCACCCACACCCACACACCCACACACACCCTCTCACACATACCCACACAAACTTCTTACAAGCCAGCGGCGCAGAGGGTCCTCAAGCGCGAACAGCAGATGGAAGTGCTAATTGCAACCGGACCTTGTCGATAGCGCAGCGTGCAAGCGACGTACACGGCATAATGCAATCAATGGGTGTGTTAGAGGAGCTGTAAATCTAACATAAATATGCAGCGGCCAGAAGACGAGGAACATATTCAATTCGAAATAAACTGAAGCGCGACAGTCCGAGGCGAATTGCGGCCACTGAATCACCAGAGCTGTGTTCGACAGTGACGCGCAGAGAAACATATGTGCCAGGCAGACCCACACACACCCATACACACCCACACGCCCACCACCCACACACGCCCCCACACACCTACCAGCCGCACCACCTCCACACACTCACACCCATACTCACACCCACACGCCCACACTCACACACACCCACACACAGCCACACCCGCACCCACACACCCATCTCCACACCCCAACACCCCCATACTCCCACACACCCGCTTACACACAGAGACAGACACAGACACACAGACACACAGACACACAGACACACAGACACACAGACACACACACAGACACACAGACACACAGACACACAGACACACAGGCGCACAGGCGCACTCACACACAGATGCACAGACACACAGACACACAGACACATAGACGCACATGCACACAGACGCATAGACACACAGACACACAGACACACGCACACGCACACGCGCATGTACATGCGCGCGCACACAGACACGCACATGGGCATGCACATGCACACGCACACGCGCACACACGCTCACCCACACACACGGACGCCCCCACACACGAACACACACACAGACACAAACAGACACGCACACACAGACTCACGCAGACACGCACAGACACACAAACACACGCAGACACATGCAGACACACACACAAACACACACACAGACACACACAGACCACACACACACACACGCAGGCACACAAACACACACAGACAGACACAGACACACACAGACCCACACAGACACAGACACACAGACACACTCACAGACACGCACAGACACACACACACATACACACAAAGACACAGACACGCACAGACACACACACACAGACACACACACACACAGACACACAGACACGCACACAAAGACACACAGACATACACACAGACGCACACAGACGCACACAGACACGCACAAAGACACGCACACTCACACGCTCACAGACGCGCACGCAGACGCGCACACAGACACACACACACACACACATACACGCACAGACACACAGACACTCCGTAGCCATTTTGGCTCAAGCCATTTTGGCTCAAGCCGTGCCTGGGCGCGCTCGGGCAAGGTGGCGCGGGAGAGTCTGCGCGGGGTGGCTGGTGCCCGCTTCGCTGCAGACCGCTTTGTGCAGCGGCTGACGCGCGAGCTGGCAGAGGCCCGGGGCGAGGCCGCAAGGCTCCGCGAGCTGCTCGAGGCGAGGGTCGACAGTGAGGGGGACCCCGAGGTGCTGCGGCGAGAGGCGATCGCGAGGCCTGTCCTGGCGGCCCGCGTCGCCGGCAGACCCGAGGCCCCAGCAGCCAGGCGGCGGCGCAACGTGGCCTGGCACGCCGCTTCCTGCCCGCCGGCCGGAGCGGAGCCGGCCGCATGGCGCAAGGCCGAGCGCGGGCCCCGCCTGGGAGCAGCTCCCAGGCCTGCTGGTGCTGCCCACGGCGGTGCCAGCCGTGAAGGGGCGGCGCGGCCGCCGCTGGAGATACAGTTCGAGATCTGCGTCGCCGAGCCCGCCGTGAAGCTCGGGCGACCAGCGGAGCCGAGGGCGAGCCTGCGGTCATGCGCCCAGCCCTTCCGATCGAGGCGCACGCCGCTGCGGAGCGGGGCCACGCCGTACGTGCCCTTCCGCCAGCTGAGCTGCGAGGAGACCGCCGAGGAGGTGCTCGCGGCTTTGGATTTCTGGCCCCCGGCTCCCGTTGACAGGGCAGAGCCTGGCCCTCCCCGTGACGGGGCTTGGAAGGCAGACGTGGTGCAGGAGGGAGACGGCGCAGCTGCCCTCCAGGTGCCGTGTCGTGTCGAGAGGCCCCAGGGGGGCGGTGCCGCTGGCGCTGGAGCGCCGCCGCCGCCGCTGGAGCACCTGGGAGGCCCAACTGGAGAGCAGGGCGACAGCAGGCACGGCGAGGGCGAGAGCGCCGATGGGAGCCAGGACAGCACGGTGTGCTCCGCGACCCTCTCTGCCGCCACCGCCGAGCGCAACGATGCTGTCACGCAGTACCTGCTAGCGTCGGAAGCGTCGAGCGCGATGAGGACGTCGAAGGCTCCGTGGGCGGCGATTGCAGTTCCTACGTATCCTCCGTGTCAGGGGTCTTCAGGGACTACGGGCCCGACCACGGCCAGTACCTCGTCGACGAGTTCTCCGACGGCAGCGAGCGCGCTCCCGAGTGCGCCCTCGAGCGTGCCGCATGGCTAGCCCAGGGCTCGCCGAGCTTCGCCGAGCAGTGCGCTCGGCTGGAGCGCAGCAGCCACTTCGGAGATGAGTTCGAGTGAGGACTTCTCAGTGTTCAGAGTACGCGCGAGGCTGTTCTTGGCAGAAGCGTCCGCTGGTTTATTGTCAGTGTTCTCCTGCTCTGAATGTGATCGCGCGTAGAGGGTGTGAGTGAGTGGCCTTCTGTATTTGCATGTGTGCGTGCTTGTTGCAGTCTGTGCCCGCTTGCACTGCCACTTCGAGGATGATTTCGAGTGAGGTCTTCTCAGGGTTCTGTGTACGCGCGAGGCTGTTCTTGGCAGATGCGTCCGCTGGTTTGCTTAGTCAGTGTTCTCCTGCTTTGAATGTGATCGCGCGTCGAGTGTGTGAGTGAGTGGCCTTCTGTATTTGCATGAGTGTGTGCTTTTTGCAGTCTGCGCACGCTTGCGCCGCGATCTTCCTCCTGTGTGTTCCTTGGTACGGGAGATGCCCTATAGTCGGGGGTAGAGCTTCGGACGTGTCGTGCTGTGCCTCGGGGCCGCAGCGCCCTCGAGGCAGGAGTTTCCCGACGTCGTCGAGGCTCTCGGGGTCGAAGCGCCCTCCTCCTGTCTTGGGAAGGCCCCTGTAGGCCAGGGCCCCTCACGTGGGCCTGGGCCTTTAGTAGGCTCCTTTTGCCTTTTATAGGCCCCGCGTTCCCAGACACGCAGACGCACGCAGACGCGCGCGTAGACGCACAGACACAGACACAGACACACGCAGACACACAAACACACAAACACACGCGCACGGACACACTTGTTTGCGTCGGCGGCTAGGCAGAGTGACTGCGCTGGCGGATGGGGAGAATACAGGGCATACAACTGCGAATTGAACCGCGATGCGCATGAGGAAGAGGGGGAAGGCCCAGCGCGGGCGGGAGGGAGACGGAAGCCAGGCCCGCTCGGAGGGGAGCCAAGCCGACACACAGACACACACACAGACACACACGCAGACACACACGCAGACTCATACCGACACGGACGCACACTTACAGACACACAGACACTCATACAAACACATTCACATATTTACATGCTTGTGTGTATACGTAAGACATTCAGAGAGGGAGAGAGGGAGAGAAAGCGAGAGAGAGAGAGAGATAGAGAGCAAGAGAAGGAGAGAGAGAGAGAGAGAAAGACATATGGAGAGAGAGAGAGAGAAAAAACTGAAAGAGAGAGAGAGAGAGAGAGAGAGAGAGAGGGATAAAAGAGAGAGAGAGAGAGATATAGATAGAGAGAGAGAGAGAGAGAGAGAGAGAGAGAGAGAGAGAGAGAGAGAGAGAGAGAGAGAGAGAGAGAGAGAGAGAGAGAGAGATAAAGAGAGAGAGAGAGAGAGAGAAATAGAGAGAAAGAGAGAGAGAAAGCGAGAGAGAGAGAGAGAGAGAGAACAACAACAAATAACGACACATCTTCCTTAATCAGAGCTTGCCTCTGTAGGGGTCCTAGCGGATTAAAGGATTAGGTGAGAGGTGCGGCCGATTTCGGTGGCCGGGCCCGGGTGCCCGGGTGCCCGGGTGCCCGGGTGCCCAGGTTCGCCGCCGATTCGGTGGCCAAGCCCGGGTGCCCGGATGCCCGGGTGCCCGGTTGCCCGGGTGACGGGTGCCCGGTGCCCGGTTGGGTGCCCGGGTGCCCGGTTGCCCGGTTGACGGGTGCCCGGAGCCCGGGTGGGTGCCCGGGTGCCGGGTGCCCTGTAGCCCTATAGCCCTATAGCCCTACATCCCTATCGCCCTATAGCCCTACAGTAGCCTTATAGCCCTATAGCCCTATAGCCCTATAGCCCCAAACAAATTCTGATTGGGTTTTTCTTCGGTATCATACATATCCAGACGCACAACGGGATCCCCAGAAATCCCGACTCTTTCCCCAGGACCGTTTTTTCATCTTGAGTAGTTTTTTGACAGCCCTGGGGCCCGGTAAGGCCCCCAGAGACCAAAACCGGCGCAAAACCTCCCGTCTTGGTTTTGTCTCGACGCGAGCGTGTCTGCAGGGAACAGAGCGCGTGAACAACGCAACCCGCAGGACACGAGCTCGCCACGCACGTGGCCGCCATCGCCCTCCGCCTGGGCGGGGTCGAGCGCAGCGACGGGGGGGAATGGGCTCAGGGGCGGACGCATCGACCCCCAATCGCCCATTCATCGCCGATGGGGGCCCGATAGCCCCACCCTGCTCAAGAACGTGCGGATTGGCTATCGGGGGCCACTCGCCGAAATATCAGCGACGCATCGCCGATTCCAGGTCGAATTCCCCCCCCCTTTGTGCCAGTCCCCCCCCCGCTGTTGCCCATCACGGGGAGGGCGGGGGAGAGCTGGGCGCTGGGCAGGCGGCCGCGGGGGAGCAGAGGGGCGCACCGCGGGGGGGGCGGGTGCTGGGCGGGGCGGCGAGGGCGAGGTGGGCCAGGCGCACCGCGGCGAGGGGTGCCGGGCGGGTGACTTTCCTCAGAGCCCCGAAGCATCCAGGATGGGGGTGGTCAGGGGTAGCTCCTGATTCATGCCTCGGGGGCCCCTAAGCCGGAGTTGCCCCAGAGGACCTCGCCAGGCGGCGCTGGCCAGAGCTGATGCACGGCCGCGTGAGCAGGTTAGCCACCGTGAGCTTCATCACGCCCGATATCATTAGCAGGTTGGCCACCGTGAGCTTCATCACGCCCGATATCATTGGCTGCCTGCCTGCCTACCCGTCACCTCCAACAGGCCCGCAGTTCTCAGACATCCCGATCGAGCTCTGCGCGATCTCCAAGGTTCACTCGGAGGGCTGGGTGCAGATCGTGGCCACGGCGCTTTCAGTGAGCTGGCGCTGATGTCGCGGCTGGCGACTTCAGCCTCAACGTGCCTCCGTCCGGCGACCCCGCGGGGAGGCAGGAGAAGCCTGCGGCGGTGATCGCGCACGATTGGCTGGCCATGATGGTCCTCACCAGCATGTCCATCCATGACGGTCCCATGGGCGGCTCCGCCTGAAACGACTGGGCGCTCTTCACGGGTTCCCCGCCGCGCGCCTTCGACAGCGAGCTCGGCGTTCACGGCCTGGTTGGCTTCTGGGACCCTGCTGGGCTCACGGTGCATGGCAGTACGGGGATCTTCGGCAGGATGCGCCGGGGAGAATTGGAGCAAGGCCGCGTGAACATGCTGGCGACCGTATGATACATCACGCTCGAAATCACTGGCGTGCTGCCCGGCTACCCGTCACCTGGCTGGCCCACAGTTCACGGACATCCTGGACGGACTCGGCACCATTTTTGAGGTTCGACGGGTTGGGCGCAAATCGTGGCCCACAGCGCTATCTGCGAGCTTTTCCAGGACCAGCTCGCTGGTGCCGCTGCCGCGTCCTGTGACCTCGGCTGCGCTGTACTTTCGTCCAGGGACCCCGCGGAGAAGCAGGAGAAGGTTGCGGCGGAGATCTCGAACGGTCGCCTTGCTGTGGCGGCAATTGTCGGCATGTTCTTCCCTCCGCCGAAGGTCTTGTCAAAATCCGCGGAGAGAATCGTCCACGCCTGACCGAACACGCTGATTATGTTCAATGTGAGCGACTATGACCCTCAACTTCTGGATGCGCTTCCCATGAGTGTCAGTTCTGGGCAGGGCGGCTATGACAGGTCTCCAGGGGTCTCGGCGTTATGCTGACTGGCAGTGCAGTTATGTTACCAGTGGGCCACCAAAGGGTGGACCTCACGCATCTTCTCGATAAGTGGTGATATCGTTCCTCGATGTGCACTTTTGGCCGTTCCTCATTCGGTGTACGTGGTGTTCGCTTTCCCGGTGGAGATGGCATTAAGTTCGGCGAACGCGCGCAGTCCAAAGCAGTCGGACCTCCCCTCCACACCAGTGCTGCACAAGATTACGAGGACTACACTCTTGACCGTGCTGGGAGCCACGCTAGCAAGTACAAGGTCTTCTTCGGTTGACCGTCGGTTGAGGGCGATTTCGCTGTCTGCCTTGTGGTTGGTATCAGCCTATCTTGGGTTACCGATGGTTTCACCGCGATTGGGTTCTTTGCCGTCGGCTCCATTTTCATAGACATTGACAGCGCCACAACGATTGTCTTCCTGGCAGTCGCTTGTTCGCCTGGGACTGCAGCTGATGCTCTCCTCTCGCTTTTTCTTCCTGGCGCGGCTCCGTTGGCGGAGTCTTGGCTCCTACTACTATGGGGGCGATCTGCTGGCGAACGCGCGGGAGCGACGTTGCGACGTGGGCAGAACGAGGAGGCTTTTGCGCTGCCGCGGCACGAACGCGGGCGGTGACGCGTGCCCTTGGCTGCGGCCTGGTGACCCTGGGCGTCCGCTTCGCACTTGGTTCGGGGCCTGCGCCGCTTTCCCCTCGCCACCACTGCTCGCGACAGTTGCGAACCCACCTGGGCCAGCGGTGCGGGTCGTGGAGGGGGCGTAAGGTGGAGTACTGAATATTGTTCTCTGATCGACAGGGATGGGTGCGACAGGTACTGCTTACACTCAACATAGCGGTAATGCACGCCCCAGTTGTTTGTCACCCAATTCCCCAGTTTCTTCACGTACGGTGTTTGGTCTTCTCCCGTGCTGTCTGGCATTTTCGCCCCTGGTTACCTGGTCCTCCCACGGTCTAGAAGGTGCTTGGAATTTCCTGCGCCCCCCTGGCCCCCTCTCTTTGTCCCGCGTCCGGGTGGCGGCGCTTGGGGAGGCTAGGCGCAAACATCTTTTCGCTCGGCGATGCAGTCGATTCAGTTGGTTCTCGCCCTCCAGGCTCCCTGCCGCTGGTCGGGTTTTCACCCTCTGGGCTCCCTGCCCGCCTAATGCCCTGTTTCACCAGTCCTGGTGTCGCTGTCTCGCGTCCCCCCTTCTGGGTCGCCTGGCGCCCCCTGACCGCCACCCGGCTTCTCGGGTTGCTGGTCTGTTTTGTGTTTGGACTGCCGCCATGTTCACGTGCGAGGTGTTTTTCCTCGGCCTTCTCTGTGTGGTGTCCCGATTCTTCATTGGCTTTCACTTGAAATACATCTCCAACTGCGCGCCCCAGTTTCGGCGTTGCACCCGGCCTAGGGTCTGGCCGCTTCCATCATTCCCTTTGCAAGTTTTGCTCCTCGTCTTGAGTCTCAGTTTTTTCGGCGACTTTGCCGTTTCCACGGAGTGCCACATTTTTCAGTCTTCTGGCCCCCAGGACTTCTTTTTCAAGTCTCGATTCCTTTTCGTGAGCCGCAGTTTTGATGTGCCACCTGGGTCCCCGAACTTCTTGGCGTTCCTCGGCACCTTCAAGGTTTTCCACCTCACGCTGGTGGCCCCGCTGCTTGGTCAGCCCGCATGTTGTTCCTCAGCATCACCGCGCTGGCCTTCACTGTCTGAACCTCTTCATTCTCTGATCGCGCTCTTTTGTCTTTCGTTTTGTGGCCTCATTGCGTTTCTGGTGCGTCCTGCTCTCGCCTTGGCCGGCGCCTGACGGTCTTGCACCGCGGGGCGCCCACGGACTTACAAAGTGTGTCTTCGAAGTTCCATTTTCAGAGCGCACTGGCGACGCTGGTGCTCGATGCGAGCTTAGCATCGATAGATAGACGCCCATGTAGCGCCGACGACAAGTGCTGACAGCCTGGGCGGGTCGGCGCTGCGCGTATGGAGCTGGCTCCGAGCGCCTACGCCCGCGTGTTCGGCGAGGCTCATGGGCGAATGCGCGCGATGCGCTCCCCAGCTATCCGCCCCTGTCGTCGCCGCAGTGGGTGTGTGTGTGTGTGTGTCGGCACGGACGACAGAAGGGGATTGGAAAAAGGGGTCGGTGTTTACGAAAGTTGCTGTATGCATTTGGTTTTGGCCCCGAGCAGCTTCCGCGATACATGTCGTGGCCGCCTTAGGCGTTGTTGGGCGCCGGGGCAGCCAGCTGCATGCAGCTGATTAGCTACCCCCTGTGCTATGGCTTTCTTCTCGTCCGCCCCGAGAGGAGTGGGCATACAGCTCGTACAGCAGAGCAGGTACACTCCTGGAGGTCACTTTGGAGGCGGGCCATTTGCAAGACCTCCCCCTTGCCTTTCGGAGGTATCCTGGCAGACCTTCCAGAGGGGGAGGTAGTGCCAGGTGGGGCAGAGGGGGATGTGGGGAAAGAGAGGGGGGGCCGGGAGGGGAGGGGGGCGAATTGGGGACTCCAAGCGTGGGGACGAGGGCCGATATCTGTTCCTGCCCATTTTCAGCATGGTTCGCCGTCTGTGTCGCCGCGGGCGTTGTCCATTTGGGACGACCGCTGCCTGCCCAACAGCGGCTGTTCTCGGCTGTGGACAACGTTTGCTGTTGGGCATCGCCCTCATTCTTTATGTCCCCACGCCGGGCGTGCCAGGGACGGGGGCGTGAAAGAAAGGGCGCGGGGCGCCGAGGGGGCATGCGGGGAAGCGCGAGGGTGTGGGGCCCCAACATGGAGTGTGAGTGTGTGTGTGTGTTGGGGTGGTGGTGGGGCAAAGGCAAGGGATCTGGAGGTGGATGTGGATGGGATAGGGGGGAGGGAGAGGAAAAGGAGGATGGGCAGGAGGAGGAGGAGGCGCAGGAGGAAGAGGATGAGGAGGGAGGAGAAACATGAGGAGGAGGAGGCGGAGGCACAGCCTATCGCGGCGCGGCGATGCGCGATGTGCGCAAGAACAGGGGCCAGCCGTTCGGGCCAATCTTTTAGAAAGAAGGAGTAAGGAAAGAGGGGTGTATGATAAAGAAGGCGTCGGGGAGGGGATCGGATCGGATCGGAATAAAGGTTCATCGACAGTCTGTAACGAAGCACAAATGTGTAACGCACGAGGCGTGACATGTGTGCGAAAAAGGCCTGGGGGCGAGTGCCCCTGACCCAGGCGTGACACCACACCCAGTGCGAATGACGGCCGACGCCGTGATTGAAAGCTTCAGGGAGCATCGGAGGAAAGCGTGGGAGGCTCGAAGGCCCAGCCAACCCAGCCAGGAGGAATGGACACGGAAAGGGAGACACGAAAGTATAGTATTTGTCACAGAGGGGCTTGAGGCAGCACAGTGAGCCTTTGGCTACCTGCATGGTTTTTGCCCCTGCAAGTGGCAGCTAAGCAATCCAAATTTGCGATGCAAGTGCGGACAGTCAACACTGAG